ATCTATACCATCAGAGATCCATCTTACAAGACTCCACTGTAAAAAAAAATGGCCCCGAACTGTCTTAGAAATGATAGTAGGTTTTTTTCTCTTTCAAACACACTCTTTTCTATGCACAAGTACTTTCCCCCCCCCTAAACTACACTAAGATCCCTTCAAAATGAGGCATTTCAAGACAGCCTTGTTGGGTAAAACATTATCGTATATATTAATGATTTCATAAAAATCTCATAGCATGCCTGGCGGTGGTGGCGCACGCCTTTAATCCCAGCACTCGGGAGGCAGAGGCAGGTGGATCTCTGTGAGTTCGAAGCCAGCCTGGTCTACAAGAGCTAGTGCCAGGACAGGCTCCAAAAGCTACAGAGAAACCCTGTCTCGAAAAAAAAAAAATCTCATAGCATTTGGATTCTCAATCTTAACCTACCTTAATTACATTATATGTTTTAAAGTCACCGTTGACTAGGGTGTATTTAAAATACCTTAAGTAGAGGGTCAAGAGAACCCAGGACAGATTTTGAGTGTAACAATCATGAGATACCTGGAACCAACCAGACTTTCCCCCGAGCATTGGATCCCAGTGTGTATAGCTGTTGTTGACCCTCTATGGTAAGCCACAACACCCTGAAATGATTCCTCCAAACCAATTAGCACAATTCATAATATTCTCTCTGTGTTTTCATTGCTTCCACTTTTGATGTATCTTCCCCCTCGAGCCCTTGTTTGCCTTGCCCATCATGGTTGTATCTTGGATGTTTGTTTCTTTATAACTTCCAAATGCTGTGTGTGTTTCCCCCGTTGAAAGCAGCGTTTGTCTCTCCAACCATCTTCACTTCACACATAAATGAATAGACATAAAATGTATCCGTGGTGAGCCAGGCCTAAAAAAGATATTTTATTTATCCATATAATTTTTTTTCAACTCTATCATGTTTCTTCAACACCCCTTCACATAATAATCGGTTCATCTCCGACTGTTTCCTACTGCTGTTTCTTTTTATGGCCAGTTTGTTTTATATCTGCTCATATAAGGATTGGGCTCTCAGTGATTGGGGAATTACTAAATATTGGAGTTAGTTTGTAGATGAAAACACAGTCTCAAATAAGATCCTTAGAGATGAAATGTAAAAGTCCCCAGTTCTGAAGTCAGGTCCATCTACGAACACTTCACACTACTTGTCTGCCTTTTGGCTTCTGCCAGACGAAATTGTATAGAAATATAGTGATTTTTAAACATAGTGGGAATGTATTGGCTCCTTATCTCCGTTTCGCTACCTTGTCACTCATAAGAAAATTTCTTCAGCTAATCCCACTCCTTTTATCTTGTCTATAAAACCAATATCATGCCAACAACATCTACTTCATTGTCTTACCTACTTATATATAATTTAACATGCATTTAAATTATATATAATTGCAAAAAAGTATAGCACCGTGTTCTATAAGTGATACATAATTTTCAGCTATTATTTTTGTGTTAAGTAGTTTGAATATCTATATATGAATTTTGTTATAGAAAAGGTTTTGATTTTTGTCGGTAATTAAGAATTACAGTGCTGACAAGAGAGTTCAGTGGGTGCCATACAAGCCTTGTTACCTGAGTTTGGTTACCCAGACCTATAGCAGAAGCAGAGAACCGATCCCTGCAGCAGTCTTCTGACCTCGGCATACATGCCACAGTCTGTGTTCACCCACACACCCACTCCCCATCCACACACACAGTAATAAGAACTTTAATTAAAACAAAGTACCAACTCTGAAGTTCATATTTGGGAAATCATGGTGCCTACATATATATAGTCCATGGATCCGTGTCCACATGAGTTAATTTCATAAGCTCAGCTTGTAGAGGAGTGCCCATAGACTTTTGCAGTCTCTAGTCTCCAGTATAGTCCTGCCAATCAAGAAGAGTTTGCAGCTCCGGAAGATAATCGGAATGTTTGACAACGTTTTCTATAGTCAACCTTGGGAAACACAACGGGTCTCGAGTGGGTGAAGGCCAGGGATGTTACCTATACATCCCAGAATACAAAAGACAGTCCTATAAGAGAGATCATCTTTTCTCAGGTGGCATGCTGTGCCTCTGCTCATATGCCTTACGTTCTTGAAAAGGGAAAAGCCCTTAGAACACTCCTACAGATAATGCAAATGTATTTGAATGATGCCTGTCAATCCCAGGAAAGTGTTACGATCAGTTTTTCTTGAGAATGGGCTGACTTTGTGAGACAGCAGATTCTTTGGGCATAGTTATATGTTTAAATAAGCCACCATGGCCTTGAAAGCCTTACCACGAGACCCTCTGGATTACATGGGATCTGTTGGTTATGGAATGCTGGATGTAAAAATGAGCTAGCATATTTCAAATCACAAATGTCAACTCTTGCCATATTGTTTACTTGAGCTACTTGTGGAAGTTTACAAATCATAATTATTTTTTCTTTAAATGATGACTACTGATATCTATATTTATATTTCTATATTAGGAATTCTTGTGTAAATGGCACAAATTCACAGTAGTCTGGTTTAAAACTTTTAAGCAGACACAGCACTCAACCATCAACATACTTCCTTTTCAGCCTACTGAAATGCTCCTTCCTCACCTTCACTAAAATTTGCTGCTGTATATATAAAAGTGACTAACATTAATGGCATTGCCCTCCAGTTGAGTAGCTATTTGTTATTATTGTTGGCTTTCTGTCCAATATGAACATGTTCCTTTTGACTCTCTGAACGTCTCCCCTTAGCAGGCTCTAATCTACTCACCACAACGCCACCCGATGCTTTACTTCCCTAATGAAGTTGGGAAGTTGAGTGCGTGTGTTTCCCTGCATGCGTGTGTATGTTTAGGTTTCCACTTCAAGATCAGTGCCAAAGCTACAGTACTGATACGTTTTCTAAATGTGTTTTAAGCAATACGTTGTACAACATTTTTAGAACATGTGTTAAACTATTTCTCTAAGAATGAAGCTCTTAACAAAACATAAGCACTCTGCATGAGATCTTAGCAGCAAAGTGCTTAAAAGATAAAGTAAGAATTGGTACCATGGGAAGAACACCAGCTGTAGAGCACACAGGTCCATTATGAGAAGTATGGTAGTGGGTAGGGAGAAAATGATTTAATCAGGAGTAAAACCGATTTTATTATAAGGGCACGCAGGGGGTGTGGCACCATAGTGAGAGGGACATTTCAAAATATCTGACAGATTTCAACAATGCGAAATCCCCGTTCTTTAAAGTGACAGTAAACCCCATCAGGTCTCCCTTTTTGATGCTATTGTTAACAGTTGACTGTTTTAAGCTGGCCTGCTAAGATGCTGTCGGCCTATTTCAATAGTGTGCAGTCAAATAAAAGACTAATTGTTGAAATACAATCAATCAAAATGATCGCAGGGCAGAGAGAAGGTCTCCTCTGCTGATTTCTGTTGTGGGTCCTGTTGGTGTGTTATGATGGCGGCAGGGAGGACGACCGAGAGGAGGAGGCAAAGAGCCCCTCTGGCAGAAACAGACCCACCTCATCCCCACTTTTTGAAAACATACTCCTGGGCAGGAACATCACTCACAGGCCCTGAAAATAATAGTTTATTAGAAAAAAAATAGACGTGATAGCGATGTGGGCTTATATTTTTAAAAGGATATGAACACTCTTAGCAAAACAGCTCCTGCAGAGAATCCCTACAGTGACAGTTCTCAGCTTTTCTTTTCTTTCTTTTTCCTTTCCTTTTTGTTGTTGTTGTTGCAAAATGCTCCTTGGCATTCATAGAGCTCACACTGTGGGTGCATGTGACCGTGAGCTCAGACATCATCAAAATAGAGAAAAAAAATTCCAATTAACCAAACACCTGTAAGTTTTTACCAGGATTCTTGGATTTTCAGTTAACTCCATGTTGTAACTGATAAGCTTTTGTTCCTTTAAGCCCAGCAAAAAAGAATCGTTTCTTTGTAGCTTGTCCTATAGATTAGCAGAAATGTCATCGTATCTTGTTTCCTTTTAATTATACGTGAAGATGTCACTTCTAGACAGCCATCATCCCTTCCTTGTATGAGAATGATCCCAGATTTTCCTACTGAGAGTTAAAGAGGGGGTGATAATCACCTATCACATTCCCTCGCTACTGAACGTTCGCTTTGGCACCTAAGTTCTTCAGTGTGTCACGGCAGCAACTCGCTCAGGTTTCCCAAGCAAATATTTTTGTTGTTTCTAAAGAGTTGGTTAGCATTTGTGGTTTGTCTTCGGCGTGTTATCATTTTGGCAGCTTTGCATAGCCTGCATAGGCCAACAGGGGTCTGTCTAATATTGTTGCTGGGTACATTTCCCTCACTGAGATGAAAACGGAAGGAAAATGTTTCTGAAGCAGTAAGAAGGAATTAATATCCTACCCCCCCATATTCTATTCCTTGCTGACTTTAGATTTAGGCAAGAAAAAAAAAAGAAGAAAGAAAGAAAGAAAGAAAGAAAGAAAGAAAGAAAGAAAGAAAGAAAAAAAAAGAAAAAAGTGTTAGCCATTATTCCCTTGTACATAGCAGGGCTAACACATGTAAAGCAATAACTCGTTTTCTATTGCCATGTTTAGCATATGTCTCCTGTTGGCTCAGCAAGGCCTTCAGGCTGGTCCCTTGAGCCAGCCATCGCTGGCAACTCTTAGCCCCTCGGCCTCAAAACCAAATAGCTTTGAATCATGTAGAGCTGTGATGCTAATTTTCATACTGATGCATTATGGGAATAACTGTATCTGACATACTGTGTCAATGGTACTGTCTCTTTGTGTCCCTTGTTTTTTGTTAGCTGCATTCCTACAGATGGCATTCCATTGAAAATGTTCCCTTCCTACAGAAAACGAGAGAAGAGAAAAAAAAAAAAAAAACCCATGCACAGCACCAAACCTCTAGGTGCAGAAGGCTGTTAACGGTTGCTGATGATAGTAGGCAAACATTAACATAATAATTAGTGTCTTGTAATTGTTTCATTAAAACCAGTTGTTCCATTTCTCCTCGTGTTTTCCCAGAAGAGAAGCTGAATTTGGATGACGGCCAGTGGGAGGACATCCACGTCGTCACCGGAGCACTGAAGATGTTTTTCCGGGAGCTGTCTGAGCCACTCTTCCCTTACAGTTTCTTTGAGCGGTTTGTGGAGGCGATCAGTAAGTATACCCCAGAAAGGAGCCGGGTGTGGTAGAATTAATAACAATAATGAGATTGATGCCGATCATGACAACGGAAAAAATGAAATATGTACCCTATGCTCATATCTGTAGCCTTAGGTTTTGTCATTTGGGTGGCTTGTTTTATATCTCACCCTGCAATATTAGCTGAGCTTTAAAACCAAAATATTCAGACCAGAAAAAAAAGAGAGAGATAGAAATCTATTTAAGGCCACCAAATTTAAGCTTTCTCAAATGAAAATAGCTTCCTCTGCAATCTGCTTTAAAGGGGTCATCTCTTGTACTGCCAGTCCCTGCCTTTATATTTTCAGAATTGCACTGTTTGCAGACAAAGAGGTCTTGCAAGGGAACCAAAATATATTAAATATTGTGTTTCATTAAATATGTGTTAAATCATCAGCTGAAATACCATCTTCTCTTGGCTCACTCATTTGTTCCCTCACCAGCAGCAGTAACTGTCTACTGTTGCCTTCTGAGCAGTGGGTAGGGTTAAGTGAAAGCGAATTTCTTTTAAGGGGTGACATTCAGAATAATGACTTACATCTCTCCACGAAGCTTCTTCCTCTGATGTGCTACTCTCTCGATTATAATACACAATCTAAAGTAAAATGGAAGGAAGGAAGGAAGGAAGGAAGGAAGGAAGGAAGGAAGGAAGGAAGGAAGGAAGGAAGGAAGGAAGGGATGAATGAAATGATCAAAATCTTTTCCTGCGTGAAAACTTCTCCTATAGACGCTTGGAAAAACAAATACTTAAAATATCACTAACTGTAATATCATAGGGTACATTTACTCTAATTGTGACAGCTTGGAAAATGACTCCTGGCAAGCAGGCTGATATAAGAATGAAAGAGAAAGAAAGAAGAAAGAAAGGTAAAATTAAGAATCTTGCAAGCCTGGCAGGAGCTTAATTAAAGTCCCAACAAGAAAAATCTCCAAGGGAAAAAAAAAAAGCTCTACTTAGGAGGTCTGGTCTTTGAGGCTGTGTGCGAAGAGTTCCCAGTAGTGGCAATGAGGAGCTGGGGGCCAGTGCTGGAAAACAGCCCTTCAGTAGGCACTTTTATTCTGTTTTCACTGGGAAAACCTCTTCACATGCTCTTAAAACTTCTGCAAAATGAAATCAGTGGGATGAAGATAAATGTTCCTCTCTCAGTCTCTGGTCTAGCCTGCTCACAATTTCCAATTGTCTTGTTGACTGGCTATTATTTAAGGGCAGGAAGGTTGTTCTTGTTTCAAGTTTGGTGTGAGTCTGGAGTTGTTATTCTTCCTGGAGAGCAATGATTTATAGTTGCCAGGTTCTCTAAACTACAACTTAAAAGGAATAATGAAGAAAAAGTAAGTAAGCATGAATCTCATTCAGTGCAGTCTGGTGTTCTGTCTTAGCTCGCACATTTACGTGAACTGAGAGAGCAGCATTCTGGGAGGAAGTTGGAAAGACGTTTGTACAGATTCCTATCTTAATTGTGCATATTTAGAAATATGTATATCATATTGTGACCTCTCTACTCTTAGGTGGCAATCGTCTCATCTGGAAACATGCTTACATACCTGCTGGGTGGGGAGTGTCGTATCAGAGTCCTATAAAGGAGGCTTCCTACCTCCTTTAGTTCACATGATCCCAAAGATAGTAGCAAACTTTACTCATAGGCTAAGCATATGGAAACCAGGCCCTTGGAGCTCATACGAGTACGTGTCTTTTGAATCCCCATAAGAATTATGATGGTTTCTGGGATGTTTTAGACTTAAACCCAAATTGGACGTAGTTTCAGTGACACAGGCATGATCAGAACTGAACAGCAAAGATAAGGCAGGCAGCATGCTCTTAGGGGTGGTTGTAGAGAGAGCCTCTGCAGACAGTTATAATATAGGTAATTTGTCCAAATGAAGAGGAACAAGTTTAATAAAGTCCTTTTAAAACTTCAAGATGTTATACACATGCTGGCAGTAGCTCTCCAAGTGACCTGTGTTGAGAAGGCAATCTGAAAATCAAGAGATGGAATATGTCCCATTAAAGCCATATGTTGCAAGGCCAGGGCAATGGTACTGAGGGGTGGGGCCTTTAGTGATTGAGTCATGAAGAAGATCACTTCTGATAAGGTTAACATCCTTATAAAAGAGGCCCCAGGGATAGTGACATAGCGCTATAGGGAGAGTTGCTTGCTACCAAGCCTACAGACTTGCATTTGATCCCTGGATCCCATACAGTGGAAGGAGTGAACTAACTCCCACAGTTTGTCATCTGACTTTCACACATAAATCATGGCACATTCATGCTGACATAATACACACCAAAAAAATACATATAAAAACTAAAGGAAGTAAAAAAATACAGCAACAACAACAAAAGTAAGCAAGACCAAGAGAGATGTCATAGCTCTTCTAGTCATGTGTATACACAGCTAAACATCACGGTCAACTAAAGTAGAAAATGGGCCCTCAGCACTCAATGCTATTGTGTTGGTCTTGGATATCTTAGCTACTACAATTGTGTCGTATAAACTTCTATTGTTTATTATGTGTACAGCTTATGGTACTTTTATAGAAGGATAATTAGACTAAGATTCCTCTCAATCTTGCTTTAACTAATCAAGAATGGCAGAATGTCACTGCATGATGTGTAACAAGTGGGTACTAAGCCATTGGATAGAGTGGTGAGGCTATAATGCAATACTCAACAGATGGACCAAGACACTCCAACTATGGTGGCTTGAAAGAAAGTGACCCCCAAAGGGAGTGTCACTATTAGGAGGTGTGGCATTGTTGGAGTAGGTGAGGTCTTGTTGGAGGAGGTGTGTCCCTGTGGAGGCAGGTTTCGAGATCTCATTATATGTTCAAGATTACCACCCAGTGTCTCAGACCACTTCTTGTTGACTGTAAATCAAGATGTAAGGACTCTCTCTCCTGTTCCAACACCACTTCTGCCTGCACACCACCATGTCACACAATGATGACAATGAACTAAACCTCTAAAAATAGAAGCCACCAGCACAGTTAAATGTTTTCTCTTTATAAGAGTTGCTGTGGGCATGGTATATCTTCACAGCAATAGAAACCTTAACTAAGATTCCAATTATCTAAATGTATTTTGGGCATAAACTTAACTTTTATTTTTCCTGTGCTGGGTATAGAATACAGGGCCTCGAGCATACTAGGTAACTACTCTGCCATTGAGCAATACCCCAGTCCTGTGTTCTAAACTTGGGGTGAGCTCTAGATTTTAATGTTAATTTAAATATCATTCAGGGATGAGGAAGTGGTCACTTTGATATTCAGTACTGGGAGAAATAACACCAGAGAGGGTTCATTTACTACACTTGACATAATTAAGCTTAAAAAAATCTTTCAGAATGATGTGGACATTCATATGCAGGCATTGAAGAGTCTTGGATATCATCAAAGCTCACATTGCAATGCCTTGTGAAGCTATAATAGTTACAAGTTCCCCAAATCCACACAGAATTAACTCTTTGCAAAACGAGGTAAGCGCTTCAGGAAACCCACAGAGTGTGCTGTGTGTGTTGGCTGTGTCTGGGCCCTGTTGTCCACAGAGCCTTGCCTGGCTGTTCTTTGTGCTCTGCACCATTGTAGGGTTGACACAGAGCTATGCCACAGGTATTCTTGGCAGCCAGCAGCTGTGGCAGAGAGTGGACAACCACCGGCAGGAGATAACGGGTAGAGGAGTGTGATAGCTATGACTCTCACTTTATAACCAAATGTCTGGCAGAAGCCATAGAGGATGCAGGGTAAAAGGCACAGTGCATCATGGTGGAAGAGACTTTGCAGAGTTTACGATGATAAGAGTACACGGTTGAGGCTGACTACCTGGACACAAACCAGAAAAGAAAATCAAATCAAAGCGGGCCCACTCCCAGTTTCCCACCTCCTCCAGCTAGACACTGCTTCCTAAAAGTGCATAACCTGCATATTTAATTTAGTACAAAGAAATGCTTATCCAAAGGTTAAGTACCATGTTTTGGTACCATGAGGTTGGGTACCATGTGTTCAAGCACATCACCTTGTGAAGGCCATTTTTCTTCCAAACCATGACAAGAAGGGAGACCAAATCCAGCTCACATGATCAACCTCACTGCCTCAGTGGCTTTTCTACATGCAGCTGTGGTAGACAGAACCACTCTAGTTCCAGCTCCCACCTCGTGGCTCAGACCCTCCTGTCTTTGCCCTTCCACTTTGGAGGAGCTAGTGGCTTCCTGACGGGACTTCTGGTCTACCTCACTCATACTTTAGCTCGTCCATCTTTTGGATAAATATTTCTTCGCACTAAATTGATTTTGTGTTAGCAGAAAAGCTTAAAATGGTTTCTGCTGTTAGCTTAGGCATGGACAAAGGCCCGTTCCCTTCACTGCCACAGTTCATGTTATCATAACATTATTTCCATTTTCTCTTCTGCCACTACGAAAACCAGTTTATGAAGACTTAACATTTGTATTTGGCCCCTAGCTGAGAGATGTGTTTTCATGGAAAAGTCCCAAAGCGAATAGACCAAATGGAATTTTACATCTGACTGGAATGCTTTGCATGGAAGAAAGAATGTTATTTCTAGTGGAAACAATTGACCTGACTGTTTGCACTATTTGAATTATTTTATTTCTCATTATAAGTTTGAAATTCATCATTGCGTATTCCAAGAAGAGTAAACAGATTTAAAAAAAAAAGAGTTTCATTTGGACCAATTTAATATAGTTTCCTTCTACACGAACCTGCAAATGCTATAATGATCCCTGTCTGATTCACTGGGGCAACAAAAGTCCTGGATTTGGTTATGTATTTCAAAATGTAAATGTCCAAGCTATTGATATAAAATTCTGTACCTGAGATCAGTATAATTGAGTGAGTAGCACATTTTTTTCCAACAAGGATTTAACCCACTATCAGCAAAGACTTGATTTCCCGGAGACGACTTATGCTGAAGGAGTTATTAGTCCTGTAAATGTGAGCTCGTTAAGCAAATGGTGCTATCCAGT